TATTTTTAATTATTTAATCAAAGAAAAGGTTTCATGACAGAATATTTTTAATTATTTAATCAAAGAAATGGTTTCATGAAAGAATATTTTTTAGCTCCGCTTTTCTACTTTGGAGAACCTGAGTATTGTATGGATGAGAGCGATGGCTACCTTGAGGTAAAGGTATGGAGGACTGGAACGGATCTAAGTAAGCCTGCCAGCGTAACTGTCCGCTCTAAGCCTTCTGAACCGCCCTCTGCCGAGGGTAAGTTTTAGGTGAAATTATTATATAACAATTTTAAATCTAACTGCGGCAATTGTAGGTAATTTAGGGGAAATTAGATGTTTAAAGATAAGTAAATACAAAAGTAAGTTTTACCCAATTATCGTTACTTAATACAAGATATGCATTTACTGAAGAAATTGTCCAGGGTTCGTGTGATTACTTATATAAGATCTTGTCCACAAGAACATTCATAAATTATTTATATAAAATACAAATTATTTTTTAATCGAAAATAAGCGTACACTTCAAAATTATAATGTTGGGACAAACTTTTAATTAGCATGTTTTACCTTATAGAATATGTCATCATACATACATATATAAACCTATATCTTCATTTTTCCGCTTTGTAAACTCACTAAAAGTACTGTGTATTCCACTTTGGTACTGGACGCTGGAGTTTTTTGGAGTTCTTTTTTTGTTTCTAGTATACATCGCATGAAAAAGTATCATTATAGGAACAGTGTATTATTTTAATAATTTCGGTGACTTAAGCCTAAACTTCAGACCTAATGTTGTTTAATTGTTTAGTATATTTCTTTTTAGCCGCCGCATGGCGGCTCATCAAACGGCTTTGAGTGTTGTTGTTTTTAAGTGCAAACCATTAGTTAATAGCTCCGTCATATCTTGACCGAGTTGATATCTAATAACAGTTTTGGACTCAGGAGGTCAAACCCTTTCAACTGATGTGTTTGACCACGCCCAAGGTATCATAGATTAATTTACTCTAGTCCTGCTTAAAATAATTTCAATTTGAGGGTAGACTAGTAGAGATCCTAATGAGTAATAAAATCGAATCGGGTATACGCGCGTCCCACGCTTGGTATTGCTGGCGTACAAAAATATAGCTAATAAAAAAAAAAAAAGGTCTCATAGATTAATTGACTCTAGTCCTGCCTAAAAGAATTTCAAGTGTTGCGGCTATTCAAGATTCCCTCTTATTTACTTGTGATTTCTAAATAACAGGGTTTGTCGTTTATTATCCGTTATAACCGCGTATGAAGGTTGACAATTACTTCTTCTAAGGATTCCGGTGCTGTTAACACTGTTATATTTTAACGATGTATTTGACGGAGCGAAGTCAATTACTTCTTCTAAGGATTCCGGTGCTGTTAACACTGTTATATTTTAACGGT